GGGGTGGCGTGCTTGGGGAGGAGGCGGAGCAGAGGTGAGCTGGGGTGGGGAGCTGCCGCACGGCTCCCTGGGCTGGGGGTTGGGGAGCTGCCGTGGGTGGGGGTGCCTCAGGGCAGAGTGGGGGCAGGGAGCTGCCGCAGGACTGGGGGGGGGGCGCAAGGTGGAAGTTTCACCTAGGGCGCGAAACTTCCTTGCACCGGCCCTGGCTGCAGGGAGCAGGTGGAGATCAGTAGGGGGCGCTGTGCAGCAGGGAGCAGAACAGGGGGCTCGGTAGGGGGCGCTGTGCTGCAGGAAGGTGGGGGGGGGGCTCCCCAAGCAGTGGGCTGAGCTGTCCCTGATCCCAGTTCCCCTGGGCGTTATTCCCCACAGCATATCTCCCGAGATTTGAAGACCAAACGCTACGACTTCTCCTCTCCTGTGAAGGTACCCGGTCACCCCTCCCTCAGCCTTTCTCTTTCCAGCCTGGAAATGGGGGGTGGAAGCTGGTTCTATTCACCCTGACCCCCGCCAGTCACACTAGCCCAGGAGGGGGCACCACAACAGCTCCCCCAAACGTCCTGATCAGGGCTCCCCAGCTCCCAAGAGATAAGGGGACCCCAGGGAGCATGGACGGAGAACCATCCCCCTCCACTGGGGTAGCAGCAATCTGGCCATTGGTTTGGGGTGGCTGGGTGGCGGTTGGCCCCTTGCTCTGGGGGATGGTTCATGGATGGTCCCGTCCCCACCCCCACCCTCTCCCCTCTCCCCCCACAGATGGCCGAATCGTTTGCAGCGATGAGACAGGAGTTAAACAGCAGAGCAGTAGAAGCCGCCAGGAGGGGATTTGAACAATTTGTGCAGATTGTGGTGAGCGCAGAGGGGCTTCAGGTCGGGAGTGAGGGGCACCGGCAGAGCTGAGGGGGCAGGGCTGGGCTAGCAGGGGGCTGCGGGTCGGGAGTGAGGAGGGCTGCGGGTGTGTGAGGCAGCAGTGCCCCCTGTGGCTGGGTAACGCTAGTGCCCGTCCCTAATGGCCGATCTCTCCTTACTCATGGCAGGACCGTGACCACCAGAGCATGAGCAGCTGCCTGAAGGTGAAGCCTGAAAAGATGCAGCAACGCCTGGAGAGGAAACACCAGGAGCTGCTGGAGCGCTGCCAGGGGGAGCTGCTGGGCGAGGACCCCCAGAAACAGGCGGCCCTGGAGGAGCTGAAGCAGGAGCTGGACAGGCAGATGGACCAGTTCCTGTCGGACTACAAGCAGCGCTATGAAGTGAAGAAGGCCGTGCGGTTGGGCCTGGTCGTCGGGGGGAGCACCCTGGCTGTGGTGGGCGCGGGTGTTGGGGCGGGCATTGGCGTGGGCGTGGCTGCCGCTGTGGTGGCTGTGGAGGAAGGATTGGCTATCGGGCTCGGGGCCGTGAGCTGTACCATGCTTGGGGGAGGTGTGGGCAGCAAGCTGGGGGCCTGGTTAGGAGAGAAGTTTGCCTGGAAGAACACAGACAGCAACACTCCAGGGCAGGAGGGCAAGGGGGAGGGCGGGGGAGGGTGTTCGGATCAGGAGCCCCTGCTGCAGGGTGGGACATAGTGGGAAAGAACTATCACACCTCACCCTGAGACTGTCCCAGCCCTCAGCACTGAGAACCTCTGTATGCCAGGGGATGGATAGATAGATAGATAGATAGATAGATAGATATAACAGTGTCCTCGGGAGCCAAAAAATCTTACTGCGTTATAGGTGAAACCGCGTTATATCAAACTTACTTTGATCCACCGGAGTGCGCAGCCCCACCCCCCCCGGAGCACTGCTTTACCGCGTTATATCCGAATTCGTGTTATATCGGGTCACATTATATCAGGGTAGAGGTGTAGATAGATAGATAGATAGGAAGGGTGTATGGGGATAGATAGATAGTGCTCCGAGCTGGCCCCTCCATCCCGCAGTTACAAGTTTTGTTCATTTTCAACAAATGTGAGTTAAACTGGTTCTCATATTTGCATTTGGTGGTTGTTTTTTTTAACATTTTCTCCTCCCTTGAAGAAGTGGGTGTAGAGGAGACAATTTGGGAGGGGGGTTTCCCTCATTTCCCCACTTATTTGAAAAATGATACAAAGAGGGGAGGGAGGTTAGAAAACCCCCAAATTCTCCTTCCAACATTTTTCAGTTTATTCTCCCAATGAAAGCTACATTTTCCCACCAAAAAGGCACATCAAAAACGACAGTTTTCCCACAAACAAAAACGTGTTTTGTGATGAAAACTCATTTTTTGGTGACAAAAAGACTCAGGTGAAATATTTCCATCAGCTGGGAGGAGGGAGGGTCGCAGCAAATGTGTGGGGAAGAAAGGGGGAGTTTGAATTCATGGGAACTGACCCATGTTACCGTCCAAGTGAGAACAGGACAATTGTGCTCTTAACTCATGTAGCTGGGGTCTGAACGTCTGCACTCGGCTTGTCAAACGGGTCACTCACACACCTTTTCCCCGAGCAGAGATCAGGCCGGAGGGTTAAAGGAAGAGAAACAGGAATCTCCTAGCAATGGTGCATCCCATTCCCTGCCCGCACCCCTGAGCCAGCCAGTCCCCTGGCCTGTAGCCGGCACCCCCTAGAGGGGACAGGCCCCACATCCCTGTCAAACTGTTTTACAGTGACTCAGAAGCCTGAGTACCCACCTCAGGACAGACTGGTGAGACTCAGGGCACAAACCCCATATGGGCTGCGAGTCCTAGACTTAGATTTCACTGACCCAGTATCAAGTGTGAGCTACTCAGGTGCTGTAACAGCCTTAACATGGAGTCTCAGGCAGTCCCCTCGGGCACCCCGATCTATCTGGTCACCCAGGTGCGGCTGCCTTTGTGACAGATGGTCCCTTACACCAGAGATCACAGCGATATTCAGGTTACTCCCAGCCCCAAAGGACCCATCACCTACCCCACAACAATTGCACCAGAGATCTCACACCACAGACAACACTTTTAGCCAATCCTGTAATAAACTGTCTCAAGATTTATTAAATAAGAGAGTTACCTATAAAGTTAAAGCAGGTAACCATAGATACATACAAATGAGTTACAATCTTAAATTTCAGGAAGATGTGGGCAGGAAGGAGGGGGCCTGGTTTGGACAGAAGGCGGCTCAGAATGCAAAAGGTACCAACGCCCCAGGGCAGGGTGTTCAGATCAGAAGCCCCAGCTGCACGGGACATAATGGGGAGGAACCATCACACACACACACACACACACACCCCGAGCAAGGGTCTGCCCCAGCCCTGGTGTGACGAAGTGGAACTGTTCTTAATGTTTTCCTCAGTTTCCCCTATGCAGTTCTTAAGTATCTAGGTGGTGGGATAAGGGTGTATGGTTGCTGCAGAGCAAAGGGCCAGTGTACATAAATGCCGGACACTCTGTCTCCTAGCAACTGATGGCCTGTGCCCCTCCGCTGCAAAGGTGCCAACTGAAGGTGTTGGAGACAAAGGGATCAGGTGACCTCCTGGGGGGGGGGAGGGGGGGGGAAGAGAAAAAGCCCAGAGAAGGAGGGGCTGGACGGGGGTTGGAGTTTGGAGCTAGCTGGCGACTGGAAGGGAGGGCAGACGGGGGTCTGCCTCGCTGGGCCCCAGAATGGACCCGGCGGAGGGGTCCCGTTCGCTGGACCTGCAAGCTCTGTTTTAGACCGTGTTCCTGTCGTCTAATAAACCTCTGTTTTACTGGCTGGCTGAGAGTCACGTCTGACTGCGAAGTGGGGGGTGCAGAACCCTTTGGCTTCCCCAGGACCCCGCCTGGGTGGACTCGCTGTGGGAAGCGCACGGAGGGGCATATGCTGAATGCTCCCAGGAGAGACCCAGGAGGTGAAGCCATGTGAGCTTCTTGCCCTGAAGACAGTCTGCTCCGAGGGAGAGGAGGCTCCCCAAAGTCCTGACTGGCTTTGTGGGGAGCAGTTCCAGAGCATCGCCCGGGACTCCATGACACCTGGTCACTGGGAACCTCTGTATGCAAAGGAGTAGATTAGAGAGGGGTGGTGGTGTGTGGGATAGATAGATAGATAGATAGATAGATAGATAGATGGGTTATGGGATCAGATAGAAAGAACTTACAACAGGTAGCTAGATTTCAAAAGGACACAGAGGTTGATTGATTTACAGTCTGGCCACCGAGATCAGAATCCAGCCCTGACCCCATCGATGTCAGTCGATAAATAACCCGGCCCTGGTTCCTGTGGTCCAAGCCAGCCACTGCATCCCTCAGTCACACCTTTTATTTGTTTTCATTTTCAAAAACTGTGGAGATAGAAACAGATTTTCCTATTTTGGGGGTTTCTTACATGAGCTTTCTCAGGAAGTGCCGAGGCAAGTCTCCCCAGGCGTGAGGAGTCCAGTCCTCCAGGCTGTCCGGCCTGATTTCCAAGAGATCCCTCAGCCCGAGCTTCCTGTTTCTTACCTTCCTGAGTCTCAGCTTAGACAGAACAGTCTTCACGGCTTCTCTTCCCCCAGCAGACGGACACGAAGGCGTCACCACCCGGGATTTCGTCACAGCTCAGGGGCAGCTGCACCTTGGCCTCCTCTCAGTCTCTGTTCCCAAGATTTAGGCCTCAAGCCTTCACCTCCCTGGGGAGGAATCTCCCCATGCACCCAGTCACAGACCAGGGAAATAGCTACTGTCATAACTATAAAGGGAAGGGTAACAGCCCTCCTGTGTACAATACTATAAAATCCCTCCTGGCCAGAGGCACCAAAATCCTTTTACCTGTAAAGGGTTAAGAAGCTCAGGTAACCTGGCTGACACCTGACCCAAAGGACCAATAAGGGGACAAGATACTTTCAAATCTTGGGTGAGGTGGGGGGAAGGCTTTTGTTTGTGCTCTTTGTTTTGATGGTGTTCGCTCTTGGGACTAAGAGGGACCAGACATCAATCCATGCTCTCCAAATCTTTCTGAACAAGTCTCTCGTATTTCAAACTTGTAAGTAACAGCCAGGCAAAGGCGTATTAGTTTATCTTTGTTTTCTCAACTTGTGAATTTTTCCTTTGCTAGAGGGAGGTTTATCCCTGTTTTGTTGTAACTTTGAAACTAAGGCTAGAGGGGGTTCCTCTGGGCTCTTTGAATCTGATTACCCTGTAAAGTTATTTTCCATCCTGATTTTACAGAGATGATTTTTACATTTTCTTTTTAATAAAATCCTTCTTTTAAGAACCTGACTGATTTTTCCATTGTCCAAAGACCCAGGGGTTTGGGTCTTTGATCACTTTGTAACCAATTGGTTAGGATATTATTCTCAAGCCTCCCCAGGAAAGGGGGTGTAAGGGCTTGGGGGAATATTTTGGGGGAAGAGGAACTCCAAGTGGTCCTTTCCCTGTTTCTTGTTAAATCACTTGGTGGTGGCAGCATACCAGGTTTTAACCTAAACTCGTAGAAATAAGCTTAGGGGGCTTTCATGCAGGTCCCCACATCTGTACCCAAGAGTTCACAGTGGGGAAGGAACCCTGACAGCTACAGACCCCAGCAGTGATTCCTACTGGGGCTAGGAATGGGTCTGAGCCCTGCCAGACGCACCGCCGGGAGCTGAAGCCAGCGTGTGAATACAGGGACAGAAACCAGCCTTCCCCAAACGCCGGCTCGATTAATCTCAATGGAGGGGCCCAAAGCCTAAGAAGCAAACGGATCTAACCCACCCAACCGTTCACACCCCTCTGTCTCAGCTAACCCTTAGGGAGGCTTCCCTTATCCAGGTCCCACTCCCCACTTCTGGGGCTGGGTGTCCCGCACTGAGGTGTAGGTGGTGCAACCTCATGATCAGAGCAGGAGTCTGGCCTAGCGGACCCAGAGGGCTGAAGCGGAGGAGTAGTGGAGAGGCCAGCCAGGGGTCAGAGCCAGGGATTCACAGGCAAGGAGGTCATAGGGCTGGAACAAACAAGCCAAGAGGTGGATCTGGGGCTGGACAGGAAGCATGTCTGACACAGCTAATACATGAAGTGTTTGTAAAACAGTCCTGGCACCTTCCACATCCTTCACAGATGGACAATACACAGGGGATGGGCAGCCGCTCGGGCGCAGCAGGTGTATGGAGATGGAGACGCTGGATGGAAGAACCTGGGGAATGTGGAGGGCCCTGATTGACTTCCTCATCGGCCGAGTCAGCCCGTGGTCAGGGATGGAATGGGCCATGGAGACCCAGCTCCTGTTTCCCTACCAGGGCAGGGGTCCCGGGTTGGGAGAGGGGTTATGGGGATGTTCTCTGGATTCTGCCTGCATGAACTTTGTTGGGAGAGGTCTCTGGAGCCTCGGGTCTCCTCCCCTCCACCGAGGCGGCATGTCCTGGTGTCTCAGCTCTGCTATCCAGGGTGGACAGGTAACAAGCAGAGAGACAGGCACAGACAGCGGCTAATCTACCCCCAACGTTGGATCTGGCTCATGGCGTGATTTGAAACACTGTCAAACTCTGACAAATTCAACCAGCTAAAACCAGGGCAAACCCTTGGGCCTGTGGAATCCCCCAGAACATGGCTTGTCTTGCGTTAGCCACAGTCGGGACATTTACAGGCACAAGCTAACCCAGGGAAGGAGAGCCGGCCCCTCAGATATTCCCCCACACACACT